ATTATTTACCTTCAGAAGAATTAGTGTTCACTTGTAAAATCTATAAAAACTATACACAATTTCAGAAAATACACCTATTTTCAGAGAATAAAAATAACTTTTCAAAACTTTTTTTGTGTAATCTGATGTCACGTTTTGCTAAGAAAACAACCCTCCTCGCTGAACAATCATTCAAACAACACAAGAAATATCTGCCTCACACATCTTTGCCAAAGTTGCCCCAGACATTCAATAATGCAAAATACTGATCCTTTATTAAAGCATATAAGCTTTAGAACTCCAGGAGACAATCTAGAGATAAACCAACTTGCATTCCATCTCTTTTATACCTACTAAAATGGGAGACTGAAGCACAACACACTTGCATCTGGCAAGGATTTGACCTAAACCTATAGCACATTGCTTTTACACAGCCATCAAAATCCTTGTTTAAACAAAGGTTCCATCTGTTGCCATGCATTTTATGTTAATTTAAAAGATGAAATTATTACAGGCCCCATTTTGCTACAAACTGAAGACATGCACACTCTTCAGCAGATTACTCACAAGCATGGTCAGGAGCAATGCATATAAAATGGTTAGTGGCAGTGTTACTCATTTTTTATTTACTACACAAATAGAGCAGACTAAAAGTGAACATAAGGTCCTGCAGGGCAAGCTATGTGTTCTGTAGATATAAAAACATTGCTCATTAAGGAAAAAAATTCAGATGCAGTGGCTACATTAGAGAACAGTCAAGTGTGTAAAGAATGGAAACATACATCAAAATACAACGAGTTCATATTTTCTAGGGAAGATCAACAGTGATACTGATGCTATGAGCCTCCTATTTTTCATTTAGTAGGTCTCAAAACTAAATTATTAACAGTGGACCACTCTACATCAGTCAAAAAGACTGAACAGGAGACCTTTTGCCTGAGGTTAGGCTCTCAGATACTCCAATCAGCACATTTAAACTCTTAAATATGATGTTGCCTTCAGTATTTTTTCTATCTAGCTTCAAGAGCAATTTATGAGCTTATGAGAGACAGATGCCCAGAGAGAAAAAAATTGACCTCTCTTTTTCACAGGACGTGCAAACTTCAAAAACCTTAAACCTTTCTAATCTGTCAACAAAATACTTGTCTTCAGTTGCCAGATGGGTATTTGTAAAATAAAAATAAAAGCTACACACACGGTATAGAGACTAACAGCTCAACAATGTGACAGAATACATATATGTGCATATTGGTGCAAGCAACAGAGAGAGAAAAGATGTAACAGAAACACCAGCAGCATAACAATGAAATCTCTCTGACGCATAGTTTACCCCATTTGTTACAATAATGAAGTAGCACAGGTAGGATAAGCAATTTAAAAAAAATTAAAACATATTTAAAAGAAAAAAGAAGTAACAGTTGCTCCAAAGAAGATACCAGATACAAAAGACTTCTGTCAAAGTCAATAACTTTTTGTAATGGTTGCTTACCTGCTAATTTAGACGTATTTCTTATGAATTACATTGTTCATTAATGACATGCATAGTCTCTAGTCTAACCCCGTCAGAACAGGTAGAAGGGTGGAACACAGAGCATGTTAAAGCTTTATTTTCCAAATAGAAACACTGCTAAAATACATTTCAATATTTCAAAAGGTCACAGACTACTGTACTAAAAACTGTAATACAGTTTATTGATATATCCCAGCTCCAGTCAGAGGTCAGCAAAGCATGTTTATTTGACTGGCTTCTATATACTTTATCTGTCTCCTTGGGTACCCAAGAATTGAATACTGGAGTGTACACATCTACAAAGTAACAGTGATCCATCTGGCTTCAACACGATTTTACCAAGGAGAAAGCAATCCCTGCAGTAGAGACACAATAGGTACTCTAAGCATCAGAGCTCTCTATCTGTTGAAGGGAAAGTTAGACACTTAAATTACCTTGACTGCAATAGAATTATCACTTCTTTTAATCCTTAACACTAGACAGTTACCAAAATATTAAACAGTTTTACAGGGAGTTGCTCTCTTTTCCTCCCATGTACTTGCCTTTATAGCAGGTAACCCAAGAACATGCCAACCCCAATTATCCACTGCATGCTGGTAAATTACAAGGAGGAATACACCTTGACTTCTTGCAATTGTAACACTAATTTAGGGAAAAAAAATAATTGGAGAAGACAGAATCACACTGTGTATACTACATTTACCTTTGTAGTACAAACAGCAGTATTTTAAGTCCCCAGTGCTCACAGACGTGTAGCATCACAAATATGTGGCTATGAGAAGACCACCACCATTTAGAATATGAAGATCATTATGCATTTTCTAGTTTAACATACATTACAAAAGCTTAAAACTTAGATTTCGATCCTATTTGAAAATCCTTTGGTCTAATAGAAAGAGGTGTAAGATATTTCTTTAAACTGAAGTGAGCTCCCCTCTGAACCAACAGCAATTTGGCAAGGAGGATGAACTGGCACATCAGAGCACTCTATTAGTTCATGAAGACCAACAGCTTCTCTGTAAAAATTTGCAAGGGCCTAATGCATTCTGACAAATGACAAAGGTTATTAAAGGACAGCTTGTGGGAGTATAATTGCTTTGTGACTTTATCATTATTAGCAGAAAGAACATTGGTAGAGAGTTAACAGCATGAAACAAGAGCAGAGGAATCCACCAAATCTTGACTCAGCAAAGCACACGAGGACACTAATTCCACTCCTGTATTACAAAACAATTCAGAACATGGTTAAGTGCATGCTATACGACTGTCACTTAACAGGAAAAAAAAACAGGCATCTTTTCAGGTGGCCCAACAGTCTACATCACAGTACAGACAGATATATGCTATATAGATATGTAGGTAGATAGATAATACTGCTATGCTAGTATATGTTTACTATAGATGATGAAAGAATTCTTACCAACTTTGCTGTAGTCTTTATATAGATTATGTTGAATAAGTTACAAGATAACTGAAAGTTTGCAAGGACTCAGTCTTCACAGCTATGCCCAGAACATTCAGGGTCTCCCCAAGAGAAAACTATTTTTTCTGCATGCATCAGTTTCTCCATCTTTCTCAAAAATACTTACCAAAGCTGAGGTGTAAATCAATTTATATTACAACAATTTAATGGTTTCAAAATAGGAGAAGGAGGAATACCAGAGAGAAGTCTGACAAGGTTAAAAGGAGACTGGGGAAAGGTTGAGGTCTAACACATATTAAATAAAAATCAATCAACCTGACTCTTCAAGAATTACGAAGTAAGATACAGCATACAACTGCTCAAAGTGAGGGGAAATGAGGGATAGGACTCCAAATCACATGGCAGCACTTGCTTTGTACAGAAATAAGGTACATTAACTCTTAGCTCCCTGCAAAGCACTGACTCCTGGCAAAGGTAAGGCATAAGATTTGATGCTTTGCACTGAACAAGTCAGGAATTCACCATGAGCATGAAGCCCCTGCCTTGCCCATGGGCAACACTTCCACATACTCGTGAGGCTCCAGATTTTGCTTTTGTGGAAACAGCTGCACCTTCTTCTTCTTATGTTTCTGCAGTGACAAAACACTTCAGACAAACTGATAGGAAGCATCTTGCCTGACACAACACAAACTCCCAAGTTTCAAACTTTCTGAAAAGGCTGTGTGCCACTGCAAACCCTGCCCCTCCTCCACAGAACAGCATTAGCTGGAAAGGCAATTGCATGTATGATATATTCAGTAGGGTACATAATAGCAAAAAATGTTTAAATACTTACTTTATATCAAAGGTCCAATCTATACAACAGGAAAAAAAATTCAAAAAACGAGGAGTTGCTTATGAACACAGTCATCACAGTCAAGCTTGAATCTGGTTGTACCATTGGTTTGGGTTCTTTTTAGCACAGATGTGTTGCATGAACAGCTATTTAAATCTATGATATTTTTCTTTTAGTAAAAAGGTTACACTGGGTCCTCAGACACTAGGCAGAGTGCAGTTGGCTAACTATTATTGACTATGGAAGGATCAAGCAACATTTATTAAGTGCCAATTTAGAAATCTCCACAATTGTTTCTGTATATTTTCTATTTCCTTGGAGTTAAGAACTACAGCAAATTGAAAGAATTTAATGAAACAGTCATAAATTTCCATGTTTTTTACCTAACAGCAAAGGAAAAGGCTTTTACAAGGTTTGTGTGACATCCTTGTCTCTGTAATCACTTGTACCCCCAGCAGCCAACAGATGCTCAGCCTCCCAGCTCCCCCAGCATCTCAGCCAAGATATTGGTATTTGGTCTGAGAATTTTGTTCAAGTCACAGTCTGAGACTTACACTGAGTCATCACCACTTTCCAGCCACTCACGTAACTAACTTCAACTCCCTTTTAGCCTTACTGTCTAGCATTATCTGTAAAACCAGTGTAATCTACATAACTTTACCAGTTTGCTTTCTTTTTAACTGATTCAGTGTTGCAATATTGTCTGTATTTTATTCATCTGCTTTTTTCTCTGCTGCTCATGAGGACATCATCTCAACAAATACTGTGACTGCTTTTATGCACAGCATTTGATAGCCAAAGTTCAGTTTAACTAAATCAGATATCTATAAATGGATACCTGTAAGAAAACAACTCAGCTTCCATTAATAGATGCTGCTGCTACTGTTTTTCAGCAAAGGAAACTTACTACACCTCCAAATTAGTTTGCAATGAAATGCTGTGGGAGCCAGTAAATCAGCACCAATACTGCTATAGCTGGGTATGGCCTCCAGTCTCATGGCAGAGATTATTCTTGCATAACACCAATCCATATGAAGCAGCTATGTTTAAGGACTGAAGGTAATTTCTTTCACAACCATTTGTAGATAGCATCAGTATTAAGACCCCCAGAAACAGACAAAGTAGAAAAGGAAAAGCAGGGGTGGGGCAGTGGCAATAGAAGGAAGAATAATCTGAACCAATGTTCCTTCAAGAATGATTCACTGATTCTTTATTTCAACACCATAAAAAAAATCTTTCACAAAACATATTTGCTTGGGTAATACATGATGTCATCATAAAAACCATTTTTGTCTTCTGTCAGTGTCAGTTTTCTTGGACTTCTCTGAAGGAGAGGGGGGAGAAAAAAATTTTAAAATAATTAATTAAAAAAAAAACACAACAACAAAAAAAAAAAGAGCCAGAACCATCCTCCAGCTTTGGCAGAAAAGGACATTTTTGTTCCCAATACATTTGTTTTCACATAATGTATCACCACCCTCCAGTAGGAGTCATGCAATAAGAAAGCATCACAAAGAGTTATCAAAATGCAAAGCCAGTATCAATATCAAACTCCTTTCTACTCTTTCCAACATGAACTTCCTCTGTTGTAATCTTATTTCCTTTCCAGTGGAGTAAATTAATACTTGTTCACATTTAAAACAAGAATAAACGTGATCTATGCCTGAAGGACATTCAGACCATTCAAAAGAAGGACAGCTCTGTGTGACAGAAGTCATGAAATAAAAGTAAACCACATATTAATAACAAAGGTAAGCATTCACCCTTCTCTACTTTTGTCCCTTCTTTTTGGTTTTTATGAAATTGTGTAATGCTCTTTGCTTCTTCTTAGTCAAGTAATTATTATTTGTCCACAAAGTATAAACTTAGGTTTATTCTGATTACAGTTCTCCACTATGACCTCTACACAGAAATCACTTTACAGGACTATGATAGTTGATGAAGCATTTGTGAAAAATAACAGGAAAATAGGACAAAGCCCTTAACATGAGGATTAAGTTTAATACACTTCAAGATTTTTATTACTGATGGGGCTTATAAATTATAAGAAATACCATCGTATTTACCTTCCTCCTCTACAGATATATAAAACATACTTTATTTGTCTGCTTATACAATATTAGTCCTGAGCCTCCTAAAGTCCATGACCGTAACAGGCACTTTTATTATATTAGACCTATCAGCTTTAACAAGGAGAGAAAAGTAACATGATAAATTTTTTTCCCTCTCTAGTCTTCAAGTATGTATACGCTCTTCTGACATAGCAAGCCAAGAACAGATGCACCATCTACAACAGACTTGCAACAGAGTAACACGTTTGTGAAGTTCCACCTTGATGTGCTGAAAGCAATAACTGTCCTATTGACTTAAGGAGAAGGCAAAAGTACAGTTAGGTGCTGTAGAAACACATGGTTGGCAGGCACTATGCTATCACGTGAGATAAGATACCTGGAAGCAGAGGAAACACTTTTGCAGCCACACAGAATAGAAGAATTTGTGGGAATAAAGTGGAAGCCAGCACAACTGTCCATCACTGGGTCATCCAAGGTAGCAGTCAGGCAGCACAGGAATGATTTGAGAAGAACTGAGTACAGAGCAATTAGAAAGGTTAGCAAAGTCAAGGAGCAGAGAAATTCCCTATATTTGCAAACCAATACACTATCATTAGAACATATCAAAACAAACAAGTGAAATACCCACCCTGCATGCTTCCAAAATCCCAGCATTATGGTAGGAGCAACAAAACAGGTTAGAACTGATGGCACAGAACAGAATCTACTCATCGGGAGGTCTCAAACTACCAAAGAAACACATAACAGAGCAAAGCAAGTTCTGCAAGCTATTCGGAACTTGGACTGTTCTTACTTTATGATTGAAATTTATAAGATCTGAGAAGTTGTCAACATATGTTTCATTTTTCAAACATTTAAGGAAAAGTAAAAACAATACAGGACTCACATTAAATGGATTCTCCATTGAGAAAAACTTATCTCTGTGAAAGGAAGATAAGTAGAGCTTATATGTAGGCTGGATGTAATGAAGTTAGATAGGCATTTTCTGTGACTTGTGATCAATTATGAGTTGTAAGATTGCACTGGACAAGCTTTAATCAGAGTAGTAAACATTGCGCCTTTTTGATGGTAACTTTGATAATACCATGAAGCCACTAGGTAGACAGATCCCTTGCAATTATTGGATGCCATCTGCATCCATGCTTGGCTTGGAGAATTTCTAAGGAATTATAGACAATTTCCACAACAAAACCAAAACAAAATCCCCATAAAATAAGTCTCAGAGGAAATTACTCCTGAAACTTACCATCCAAGACACTTGTAGCAATTCTGAAAATGAGAAATCATCAGTAAGACTGTACATCCTTACACATTTCACCAGAAGGCCTACATCCAACTTTACTAAAATTTAATCTTCAAGATGTTTCCTCTCCCAGAAGGCATGTTTCAAATACCCATTTTGAAATCTTCTCCTATTGTGTCTTGTATTTCAGAGATAAAATGCTCAGGTTTTTTTAATAATGATTTCAGTTTAAAATAACTTTGAGATTCTTAAGAATAAGTCATCTAAAGGATGCCTGGAAGTATTAGGCAGGAAAAGAACCTGCTAACTACCATGGCAAATACTACTGAAAAATATACTCCCAGACATGAGAAACCACAACAAAGCAAAATGAGTATAAGAATGCTGGGATTTTGCTTTAAAGGAGGAGGATATTTATACTTCCAGAATTCCCCAAGTTTGTCTATGTAACTATGAAGATGTGGACAATGAACTTACTTCAAGTAACCTACAGATATTTGGAGACTGTTTTGTTTCTTACATTAATTGCATGCAGACGTGGATGTAACTTTAAAAGCTCATAATATTTTCACAGAAACAGGGAAACACAAACTAAAGACTGTTGATTAGTACTCTTGAGTTCTACCAAACAAATTACTTCAATAGCTACTATTCCAATAGTTAGAAGATAAGCTCAGAGTTGCAAACATCAGCATAAAAATTTCATAAATCTGTATGAGGATGAAGGGTATGGAAAGAGTACAAGATTTGAAGACAGAAAATTACTTAGCAGCACTCCAAAAAAGTATTCCAGTACTTGGAAAACATTTTTTTAAAAATAATCCCCCTCAACAATCCTAAAATAAGAGCACATAAAATCATTGCAAAATAAGCAAAGCAGAATGCAGCAATTTGGATTTAAACTTTAATCTCTTCTAATATAACACTAGAAATGGTGTATAATCACAGATTCCACCTGAAATCTCACCTGTCAGTCTACAAAAAAATAGTGACTATAGGTAATTTATTATTAAAATAGTTTTAAAAGCGCCCAAATAACCAAGGACCCTAAATCCCAAGAATTTTCAATGAAAAAAATAAAGGCAAAAATAGGAATAAAGCTTAAAATGTTGTTTACACACTGATTGTAAAGGGGGGAAAATGGTGAACTACAGATCTTAGAGCAGTTTCATTAAAGCAATTGTAGTCTCAGACTAACCTTCTTCTCCTCTGCTGAAATATTATCTGAAGAAGAAAAAGAAACTCAAAGTAGCACAACTGAAGTTTTTATAGGTCACATGGGATGCCTGCTGCCATGCACCAGATGTGAGTAGGAAAAAGAAAGCGGCCAATGTATGATATTAAAAACCAGTGCAGTTTCAAATATTTTAAACATGATGTCAAGTGCATTCAACAGGTCTACAAATGCACTACATTAGCCTAAATTTAGTAGGTGATAATTGAAATCAGAGATCCAGTCGTTACCACTGACATGTTTCTAAATACTACCCAATAAATTTTTGTCTGTTTCAGACTCCCTATGACAGCTGGCAGTTGGGAGGGGAATCACCAAGAGGGTATGTGCACACACACATACAATGTCTCTGTAGTTAAATTCCAGTATCTTCCCTTTCTAGAGCTAATTTAACAGTGACAACACAGTGACAGTGACACATGCTCCTACAGCTGAATTCTACAAGCCAAATGTTTTTTCTGGTCTCTTCTTGGCATGCAACAGGACGGTAACTTAACCAGCTCCAACCTGGAGCATATGAATTTTCACAAAGAAATTAATTCACTTCTTTAAGGGAGACCAGATCTGGTATTCATACTTATTATCTCTTGATTTTTAGTTAGAAAAGGAAGGAAGTCCAACAACAATAGAAGACACAGTCTTAGTCTACATTTTTTTTTTGCTGTTACCATTGTTATTTTTATAATTATATACTGCTGAACCACGAGGGAACAATTATGAGAAAATCTCGATCTATCTGAAGGTAAAGAAATTTCTTCTGTGTCTATAATGCATCCTTTCTTTTTAGTCTCTGCTATATCATCACCTTGCTGATACACCTGCTATCAGATAATACAAAGTGCAGCCAACTAGCACATGAGAATAAACTGTCTCTAGAATCACTACAGATTTGGCAAGTATCAACCATGACTTCTCCAAACATGCAGAAGTGGTTTATGCAAGTTGGTATGAAGAGCTGATAATTACACCTGGCCTGTAAAGTTTATCAAAAAGGCCTCCTCACAACTCAGTTTTGCCATCTGTAAAATGGAGGCAGCGTTGTCTTTCCACTTCTCAAAGGATACTGAACTTCAGAGCACACGATGAAAAACTGCCTGAAAAGATGTAACACCACCAACAGCATGGTTTTTGACTGGAAATTTAAACATCTACTTAGAACTAGTGAGGGTTGGGAATGGAAGAACAAGATGGGAATGGAAGAACAAGACTTTCACTAAAAACTTACAGTCATCCAAGGCTCAAAAACCAAGCAGCAAATACCTCTTAATTTTCATGGATGTTATTTTAAAATATTGTCTAGCAAAATGAATTCCAAAGAAATGTGAAAAGACTAGTTTTTCTTCTTAAAAAAAAAAAAAAAAAGTAGGCCTTCAAGAGACAAACCTCCTTTCCTTCTCTCTTAGTATTCTATTTTAAAGGAAATCTACTTACAAAGCAGCAATATTTCAATCCAAATAGTTAAAATAAAAGGAAGCTGCATGCTACCCATTCTTAGCTTTTTAGACCTTAAGACACAGAAGACCGATAGAAGCAAGCACCTATTAGAAGTATCCAACTCTGTTACTGGTATCAATAGTTAAAACTAAATTAACAATCAACATTAACCATGGGTTGAAGTAAAAGAGCCAGAAGGTACCTTGGAGATAAACAGAGTTGTCAAAGACAGCTCTCAAACAAAATTTGAGAGCCCCACATTCAGTGGTGGGGAGGGAGAACATTAGTTTGATATTTTTTCTGCTGCTCAAATAGTCACTAGAAGCAAGTTTAAAAAAAAATAAATAAAAGAAATAAAAAAAGAGGACCAATGACCATTCTACCTGTATTAAGTAGTATCATAACTGAGAATTTCTAAGATTTACCATATTAACAGTTCTATTTCAAATGCAAAAAACAAGTAATTTTAAAATTAACACTTGTAACAAACTGTTGTTCAGGAACATCTATCTTGAAACTTCAAGTCAGCTAGCCTCACTACAGATCACGAGTTAGTCCTTCACCAGATTTTGTCAACATAGTCCTCAAAACCCCTGGAGTTCAGACAAGGTCATTTAGAACCCAAGTGACTGGTCATTTTGGAAGGACGGGGTTACACAGGGAGTGTCCTGTAGCACTTAGAGCACAGGGTTGTAAGAACTGCTGAAGATGAATGTGATGATCTATCTCTCTTATGATTTTTGATACAAAGTAAAAAGTAAACTGGCAGCCTTTTAGGACATTTCAATTCTATTCCCCCTTTCCACCTCATCCATTAAAACATTTTCCTCCTATTTCTTTTGCTATCTGATATTAAAAAGTCATTTATTGCAATAAAGGGGTTTAGTGATTTGGGAGTAACTCTTGTACACTGTACACTCTCTAGACACCCTGGAACTATGTTAATAATTTTCTTCCTATTAATTGTCTCATCAACTCACAGCTGGCTATGCTTTTTATTTCATTATGTTATTCATCAATCTAAAATAGAACTATAACAGAAAAAGAAATTGGAAAGGAGCAATTTCAATATTTCAAAACAGATGCAAATCAATGCCAGAGATGCTACACAGCATATTTTTATTGAGACAATTCTATACATGTTTGAAAAATGAACTTGTAATAAACTCATATCCTATGAAGGTATGTTTTTCCTTCCATCTTATGAGCTAATTATGCCAACACAACATAACGTTTTCCTAAATGCCTTATAAACTGACCCAGTTACTCAGAAAGTATTATTTTTAAATTGATGTGATAGATGCAAACTGGAACGTTCGGATTTCAATCCTGGCACCAATTCCCGGATCCCCTTCCCAAGTAATTTAAGGACTTCCTCCCGATAGTTTTTCATATTCTTTTAACTGACATTTTATCTTTATACAGTATCTCAGCAGAATGAACATGCACTAAAACAATGACAGCCCTTCTTTGGCTGTCATCTCTCATTCTGGCAAAGACAGATGTCTTACACTGGCTTATGCCAATAATAGAGCCGACAAAAAACAACAGAGACTACCTGCCTCTGATGTAAAGGCACCAATTCACATTTGTGACACTCATTTGTCAATTAACAGATTTCTTCCATTGTTGACACATGGGACTTAAAAGATGTGGGCTAGAATGTGATGAATTAAAAAAGACAGATGAGTAAGCTATGAGCTGCAAAGTAATACTATAATGTGCTTTAGATAGGAATATCAACTGACACCCCTGACAGGCCATACAAGGTTTTATTTCATTTTGCTCTGTATCTAGGCTTCATACTTTGTCTTCTTTGTTCTCTTTTCATCAAGCTCCTAACATCTCATTCTGACAGCCAGAGACATTTAAGGCACTTTCGTTTCAAATGCAAGTTAGCATACTTGATTTGTCATTAAAATGCAAAACGATTGCCATTGCAGGTAAATGTAGGTATACTTAAAAGGTTGTATCTGCAAAGTAAAAGCTGAAATGGTTTCTGCCTGCTTTGCTTAACTCTTTCACCAGCTTCAGAGTTTTTCTAAGGCAAATGTTACCACGCTGTAATAGAAGTGTAGCAGCACCTGCAGTTTGATACAGACTACATTTTAGTATATTTAAATAACAAGAAATCTTGAAGTTACCATGTCAAGCACAGAGAGGTACAAGTCAAGTCTACACATGGAACCTTAGTACGATTCACAGAAGAATGTGAATAGAGTCTATCATGTAAAGCTTTCTGGGGTCAAAGCTCTCACCTACATAGACACCAATGAGGAAAAGAAGGGGGAGGTTTGTTTGACTGTTTTTAATATACTAGTTGTGGTTCTGTCAGCCGGGATCACCAGAGGGAATTTCAACAGCAATTTACTTTCTCTTTCAATGATCATTTAAAGAGATGTGAAGGCCTTAAAATAAATAAATAAATACACACATACATACATACATACATACATAAAGTCCCCTATAGCAAAAGACAAGTATAGATTTAAAAACACTGTGGAAAAATAGACTTGCACAGAATGGGAATAACTAAACACCTGGCTTTCTACATACATGCAGAGATGTGAATGCACTGTATAGTATGAATAAGGTTATTTCTATTCAACTGAATAGATTCAAACATCAAGGATCTCAGTTGTGTTCAGCATATAAAATCTAGTGAAAATAAATATCTATTTTTTTCTGCAAGTGGTTTGAAAACCAGCAGTATAATTTGAGTAAATTTTCTTGACACAGAGGCAAGTTTATTTGATTTTAGGTACTTAGAGATGAACCTTTATCATAAGTTTGTACCTATGCATCTTTTTTGCAGACTTTCTTGTGCTTTTTTACTACGGAAAAAAGAGGGGGTGAATAGGGTTTCACCCTCACTAGAGTGCAGAAGCATTTTTCCCTTTTTTTTTCCCTATGAATGAGAGTTGTATGGAAATTTGCAGTCAGGCAGTCATTCAGAAAATCTGATTTAGTTTATGACCTCATAGTGCATTAACAAAAGGCAGAGAACCCAAAACATTTGATACTTCTGTGTATAGAATGAAGCTTACTGACCAATTCTGACACAACTCTGCCTACTGCTAATATGTATCTGCTACAAAACAGGAATTATTTATTCATTCGAGGTAATATGATAGTAAGAAGCTATGCTGTAAATACAAATATCAACTTCATAACTAACAGCTACCTTGGCAGGTTTCTAGTGCTACTTTTTCCACCCACGTTAGTCTTATCCGCATCCAGTGCACTTCTGTCCCCACAGAGAAAGAAAATGGGAAAAACAAAAAAGTGCGAGACTACTTTAAAGCTGACTTCACTCTCTCATTTAGGTTTTAAAATACTAGGGCTACAGCAACCAAAATTTTCATATGCTATATTAAAATACACAAAGAAACAGCTGCCCATTCACTTTTAGCTCAATACAGTCATTTGTCCTCTCTTCCTCCATTTACCAATCACTAGGAAGTGAGGCAAAACCTACAGTAAGGCATTAATGTCCTGAATTTTAGAAACTTCTTTTCTGTTTCTTGATCATTTAACTGCAGGTGAGCCTCTCTTTTCAAACCACCTGTGGTTGCAATGACCAGAGCCTGTAATTCAGTGGCAAAGTAGTGGCCCATATTCAGTGGGTCGAGATGGATTCTCATTAGAGGTACGTCCACATTTCAAGAGCCCTGTTATTAGTGGTAGTAACAGACCATTTGATATGGCTTATTTAAAGGAAGCCAAAGAATTGACAGTGAAAGACACTGAACTGCCCTCTGACATTCCCCACTTAGGCTGGAAGATAATTTACTAATTGTGCACCTGGTAGAACTAGAACCAATATTGTCTATGAATAGCTGAGCTTGCTAAATCTGGCGGCTGTGTTAAAAAGCAACACAGTGATCAAACGAGAGACCATTTGCAAGAAAGGAAGAACCTCATGTTGCACCTGCACCCAAATCTCTCAGTAGCACCTTCAGCAGCCTTCTACTGATTTAAGGAGCTGGAGGCAGTGGGGAGGAAAAGAAGGAACAGAGTAAGGGAAGAAAGTAAACTGGACATAGCCGCTCACTTAGTTGGCTAGATTCCATTTCTCAGAAAAAATAGTGCTTGACCATTTTTCCCAAAGCCATTCCACCACAATCACCTTCACACATGACTGTTTCTGAGCTATTCCAAAGTGCTTCACTATCCAAGATAGAGAGTGTATTAAATGCAAGATAATAGGTAGAAATACAAAGTGCTCAAATCCTTGAGCAGCTGTGATTTTAACATTCACATACTGGACTGTCATATTATCTTAACATAACTGAGTTGGAAGCAGAGTTTTCTGAATATTCAATATACTGTTAATCCTTGGCATGTCTAGAACATCTTTCCTTCAGCCTTTAAGGGCTTTAGAATAATCAGTACACTTTATCACTTACGTAATTAGGTCAAGTTTTCCTCTTCTCTCTCCAGCTAAAAGGCCTAGAAAGTCCTAGGAGTCTGACACAGCATCCTCATCCAGTGTTTCTGTGGCCATGTGGCCTTGCAGAGTCATGGCACTTCAGCAAGTCTTGGACCTTACCCATCTCAAACGGTTCGAGGACAATTCCTTGCACTTTAAAAGATTTTACTCTCAGGACACAAAATAAGTTTTTAGCATTTGGTAAAAGAAATGAGACAAAAATAGATGTACAGAAACCTCATATCCCCGTCAACAAAATAAAACTTTACTAGCCATATCCTGGTCATAAAAAGTTGTTTTCTTGCTCTAGGTAGGTGACTGGATGCTTGCAAATACCCAAAGACTTAAAATTAAAATATACCGGTCTTGAAATAATGAAAATAAAATTTAAAAACTCATTATGAATAAATATTTAAACTAAAACTAAAAAAGCCACTTAAGCTGCCACAAGTACACACCTCTCTTATAAAGAATACATACCAAATTTGATCTTCAAACTAATGGTTGGAAATTACGATTTTAAAAGGTGACTAAATATCGGTAATAGGTATTTTTTCTGTTAAATCCATAAACTGAGTTCCCTATCAACAGGTCTGATCACAGACTAATATTTTAAAGAAATGGTAGCTCACATCTCTGAGTGTAAAAACATTGAGCATTGTGATATCTTTCCATTGGGCATATTCACAAGGAAAAAACAGCAGCAGTCAGCCCATCTACCAAATGGGAAATGCAAAGTTGACTCACAAAATAGGAGCCATATTTTCAATACCATTAAGTATATTTTAACTATATCTATTCCACATCTTTTAACACTCAGAAAAGCAAGCATTGAAAAATGGTGCTTCCTGCAAATTCAAAAATAAAGGACTGAGCAATTGCACTCAAAGTGGTTGCATCAGTGCAATACATGAACCAGAGGAGAGAACTGAGCATTTAAAAGCTTCATACTAAAAAAAAACCCAAAACAATCAGAAAATAGCCCACAACTTTTTAAACTCTTCTGTTAGCTTTACAAAAATAAAAAATTAAGTTTGGAGTTGACAAGTAATAAGCCAAACTTTCACTTTAGTCTTCAGTGCAACAATATCAACTATCTACCAATACAGCTCCTATACCAACTGCACAGGAAAAACAGCAGAGACTTAAACACCTGAAATAAACCTCTTGGCCCAATTTGCAAGAGCCCATCACCTTCCCTGAGTTTTGGACAGATTACAAACTATCCCCTAACATTAGACATTTTGCCCCTCTTATTTGTGTTCTTTTAAAAGTGATTTCTGAAGTCTCTCACCACAGAAAGGTTTCCTACAAATATGAGCAATGAGGATGGCTGTATTTTACAAAACACATTCATTACTACCACTTATGGACTCAGCAGGTAAATTAAGATAAAAATGGAAAATAAGTTATTAAGAAAGGAAATGATCTTCCAGCTCCACCAGTGAGCAACTCAGTCAAGCATGGCCAAAAATAAAGACCAGGAGAAACACAACAAAAATATAAATAAAAATCATGAAACTTCGATGATTGCTAGCATTAGTTCATGGGTAAAGCTTGCAACTGAGCTATAACACTGCATTAACCATGACCTTAAAGACAGTATAATTATTGTATAGCATGTCTGGTTTGACATGCTGGCTCCTGAGCCTGAGAAAAATACAGGGCCCTTTTGCACTTCTGTGCTGCTCATTCTTTATGCTTGCACGAACTGGGGACTGTCTTTTTAAGCTGAAAAATCATCTCCGAGATAATTTATGTTAAGATGATTTATGTAAAATGCAAGATCTCAAAAATGGCACAAACCACACAAGACCACATAAAACAAACAAGTGATGCATAAACAGAAGCTTCATAAGCATTTCCCTGCGAAATGCCAAGCAGCCCTTTGTACCATGACCACTCAGCAGGCTTCTTCAACACTGAAGGACAGAGACCCTTCTTGGCAATTGGAATCAGCAAAACTAGTCAAGTTCTTTACATCTGCAACTAGATGCTGAGAATGTTTTATGTTGCATTAAGGAGAGAAGAAGATACCTTTCAACCAAACAGAGAGGAAAAGACAGACAATAACTCCAGGTTTAATGCAGGTTCTTCCCTTCAGTCAAGCTCCTTATCCTCAGACAACAGTTATTTCTGCAGTCCTTCGCTCTTGTTTCACAACAGCAGTGATGAGGAAATACTGTTTTAGAGTGAAAGAGATTAAGGAAGTCAGAAAGCAAGCATGGTCCACCTGACTATTGTACTTAACACATGCTCTTTATCGTGCCCTTTTCCTTAATCCCCAATACTCTTAAAAAAAAATACTTCTCAGCCTTAAAATCCAGATAACCATAGATCACGCAGGAGCAGCCACTAAGATATTATTTGCAATCTATTGACATTATTTCAAGCTAAAACAAGTGCATCAAACTATTTCTCTTCCAAAGGCAAATACTTTCCATAGATTGTGATAGTCTTCCTTTTAATAGTCAACTGATTTTTTCTCTATCTAACATTGATTCCTGTTATTCAGTACAGAATACAACACAAAAACCAATTTTTGTTTAAGACTGATTAAAATTTTCACAAGAGGAGCTGGTTTGACTGTGCCAGTGAATTAAGCCCTCTGGGTACCCAAAGAACAAGTGCAGATTGTGCGAATTTAGCCTTCATCCATCTCATACAGGAAATCACATCAAGAAAAAGCAGTTCACCCCCTCCACATTAAAACACAAAGAAAATTGTGTGATGCAAACACCAGTTCACTGGGAAATGCTCTGCCTCAGTCAAAAGCTCTTATCAACAGCCTTGAGTCAATGGATGCTTAATAAGAAATCTGATCTCTGTCCAAGTCCAAGTTTGTCACTCAGCTTTGTTCAGAACTACAGATTTCACCTTTACTCATAATTGCACCAGACCCTTACAGACAGATATCACCAAAAAAACAGCTTTGACCATCCATCACAGCAATATTCACCAGCTACATTCAAGGATGTAACAATTCAAGCTCACAACTTCATTTTACTTTATGTCAAATTGTGAAGTTTGTTTAACATTTTTACCAGACTTCAGCCTCTAGAAATGCTCACAAAAATTCTCCACTACACAGTGTGAACACACACTGACCCCCCAGCCAAAGGTTCAGGTGACATTCTGCCCAATTCTACCATGTGATACTCTCTCAAGACAACTCCTTCCACAATGTTAAGCCTTCTTGAGAAAAGTAGAACAGAAAAAAATCTTAGGTTCTGATCTGTCAGATACAGTAAATCAAGGGATAATGGCCAGCATGGGGGGTCAGAGGTATATATACTACAGTGTTTTCACAGTCTGTTAGTGACTATGTGGTCATAAAAAGTCAAGGATCAATGGAAAAAAGGAGAGGCTGCTGGGACTAAAGAAGATAACAGCCATCCGTAGAAGACTGAAATACAACAACTTATATTCCAAGTTCACCCTGACATAATACTGAGTTTGGAGAAATAACTTTTCCATCAAAAAAGCAGCTTCTATCCTTGGCACAGTATGCCTAAATTGGTGAGATATTTAAATACATACCATAACCCATTAATTTGATAATTTTAATATCAGTCATTGACTGGTCCCCTTCATATCAACAATAAACTAATGACTGCAAATAAGACACACCAGGAAAATATACATCACAAAATTACACACAGACAATACTTTGTAATGGCAAATATTCTATAGTCACATTTAAAGCTGACACAATAACAGAACACAGGCATGGCTATTGTATGTGAGACAAGGTATATCTTAGTAGTATTTCTTAGTATTTTCGAAGATATAAAGTGTGAAAAAAAGTTTTCCTTATACATTACCCAGATCATATCCGGTTCCTGGTGAAATGCCACTTTTAAAATGGGAGAGGCATGGTGGGAGGAAAAAGGAGGGGAAGAAGAGAACAAGGAGCAGATTTAGTTTTGTCTATCAACTATCAAAAGTAGAGATAATATTTGAAGTTCATAATTCTTTTTGCTACTGGTAATAGTCTCCTATTTTTCCAACAGATATACATCTACAGAACTTTACCTTATACAACTTTCTAGGTATTACCCATGGAGAAAGAGAACCTATTATCACACTTGTCTTCAGTCCATCTAGTAGACTATTTCACATTTATTTTAATAGAAAAATAATTATGCATCAGGTAGTCCACAGTGATTAATAAACATGTAAGACTTCAACTGAAAGATTATTATAATCTATAGATTTTAAATAATTTCAATGAATCCTTGTGTATAAATATTTCATTTAGCAAAATGATTCTAGGAACTGAATTGCTTCTAAAGAATGACCACCCTTAGCAGTGTTAGTGTACGTGTATTTTCAGACATTCATAATATTTCAACATTATTTAAAAAACAGCATCTTGTGCTTAATGTAGGACATCCCTTTAAGGGAAAACTTTAAGTACCCACCTCAAAATGCAATCCTACTCATTTGAACTTGATACATTACTGCAATAGTAGAAGAAAAATTATCGAGAACTTATACATTTCAGAGAGCTTAGCTGTGGAAAACATTATCTCTTTGTTGAAGTCTCTATATATGATTCCATTTACCTTGAAAAAGTGAACTATTTCAAGTATAAAATTTACAAACATTTGTAAACCACTGTTTTCTTAGAGTAAGAAAGAAATCTCAGCTACTAATAAACATCTTCTTTTAAAAAGGCAATACAAAATCTTCAATACTTAAACATATTCATTCTCTTTTCACGTAGAAAACTGTGGTCATGCCTGATAGAAAATAAAAAAACAAGGCAAGTGAAAAACATTAACAGCATAGCTCCAATACACTTATTTCAGACAAGATACCATAAATCATCTTGAAACAAAACAGGCAATTATAATGTGCACAAATGTTATGATATTATGCGTCTCTACTGGTCCAATAGTTTAAATTATTGAAACTGATGGCTGAACAAGGGCATATTGTTTCAACACACTTGGATTACACAAACGATTCAAATTCTTCCTTTAGGTCTCCAGTGCTTTGCAGATCTCTCTAATGTCAATAAACAGGTAGATAGATGTTTCTTAGATAATTCAGGCCACATCTAAGGGGATTAAAATATATGACCAAAATTTCTCTAGCGTTGTCTTTTGTAAACAATCATGTGGTTTTCTTCCCTTCAATACTGTAAGAAGCATCTGAAATTAAAGCAAGTACATACATCTCCCTTCAAAGCATTCAGTGAGAACAGAGCAGCTCCTTTCTCCTTCTAACCACTATCCCATATTTCAATCCTCCTCACCTCAGTGTAAAGGAAACAGGAGTGAGAGCCATAAGACAGAATCATTTCAAAACACAATTAGCTATTTGTAAACACTCTTTTTCCTGCAGAAAATCTGCAACTGTTAGTTGCAAGAAAAAGCAGCACGTAAGGTAAATCAATTAGCTTGCTAATTTCTCACCCTCATTCATTTAGCTCTGCACTGTATTTGTCGTAATTGACTATAATTATGTTAATTACCAACTCCAGCATAATTACTATATTTATTGTCATTGAGCACACTACGTACCCAAAGCAAAGCTGGCATTTGTCGGGCATCAAAAAAATAAATAAATAAAACCACACAACTGTCAGGAGGGGTTTCTCTGAAAACCGGCTGATATACCTTCAGCAAATGAAAGGGCAAAAGAGATTTCATGCAATGCTAGTTTGAAAGCATCGGTTCATTAAGGATATTAATTTTCTGATAACTACACATTTAAGCATGACACACTGGAGCAGTATCTACAGGATTTAGCAATTATTAATGCGTGACAGTTTCAAATGCTAAGTGAATCAATTAAACAGCAGCATTCACAATTTGAGAAGAGATAACTGCTTCATAACTGCCTAAGACTACAATTTTCACATGACAAAAAAAGGCCATTCAGGCTCCTTCAAAACCTGACAGGTCAAGAAAGAAGTTTGAAACAAAAGCACCTTATAACCATCATCTCTCCTCTTTACTTGTCAGATCAACTTTGCTAGTGTCTCCGCTGAAATGGCATCACCATGCCAGCTGCCACAAGGTGATTTTTCATGTCTTGTCAAAGAAATCTTTTATTCTATTTGCTCTGCATTAACATGTTACATTTATTGATCAAGCCCTTTCTGCAGCCACAGCAGGGCACTGTGCTCTTATGCCTAAGGGGGCTTTGATGTCCTGGTGACATTCTAGACCAAATAATGCACATACTAAATGGATTTAATGCAGAAATGTGTTTGTGCATGACAGCTACATTAATAACAGCCCCTCATACTGATAAATATGCAATTGCTACGATTAAGAGTTACCCAATTATGGTGAAAATATTTTTCTACCTTATAAATAAAACCATCAAAAAGTTTTAACAATAGTGCATTTTCTTCAACATTTTAAAATGCTATAAAGATGAGTCTAAAGGCTGTAAAAAATGTCATGCTTTGTTTTGAATTTTGGCTTTTATTTCCCTCTCTCTTTTGTTGTTCATCTTTCTGTTCTGCGTATCTTATTGCTGCACAGACTGGGAAGGTGGCAAGAAAAAAAAAAGCCTCTCTTTTCACATACTCAACTCACAAAGAGGAACGTGCCCTGTAAAAACTGAAGCCCATTTTCAGGCTGCCACTTGCATATTCCCCCAGGCAAGAAACCAGTAGGCAGAAGAGAGAAACAACAATCTCAAGTCCACAGAGAGGATATTACAAAGGCTCAGCCTCACGAAAGTCACGGAGGAACATTGCAGATTAGGATTATAGTTCAAGGGGATGTTTTCATATATACACCTTCATCATCGGAGAGTGGAAATTATGCACAAGCACATACTGTGCAAATTATTCATGCTCCTAGTAGAAATAATCTGCACCCTAGGGAGAGGGAAGAGATACTTGTATCTCTATGAGCACAATTATTGGATTAATCCTTCCTCATCAGTCAAGATTAAAGATTCACTCTCACCTCATAGCTTAGACCCAGAAGAAACCTCTGTAAGGAAAAGGAGAACAACTCACATGTTTAAAACTACTGAGGATAAAATTACAAATGGACTTCTCTGTGAATTGAACCGTAGATGTTATTCATAAAAGCATGGCACCTATTTATACAAAACCACTGATATCAAGTTATTCAAGCACTGCAGTGCATTTAGCCTTTAATATGAAAAGAAAAATTTGGTACAAATAAAGTTATCTAGGACAAGTAAAAAAAGCTTTGAATAGGTTGTGGGTTGTTTGGGTTTTTTTCTTCCCACCAGACAGCATGATGCATCTAAAAAAAGTCTTTGTATTTCATCAAAATCTCTACTCTCTACCTACATTACATCCTTCCTACTCACTTATTGCTTTCTTTCCTTCACCAGTGACTACTACTTACCTTCTTTTTTAATTAAATCTTTAACTTTCTATGATCAATGAACAATAGCTTTTTATCCCCTCTTGAATCCTTTACAGCAAAGTCTCCCAGTAACACCAACACATCAGTGACTTTTCTTCCCATAGTCTATGCCTTCATTAAATGGGACTTGGGGAATACTTTCCACGTACTATGAAAGGACTCTGTTATCAGGGACAGCTATCAAATACAGTTGCCATGAGACACTCAGGAGCAGATTCCCAAAGCAAAACACGTCTGCTCCTGAAACATGCCTTATTGAAAATATAGAGTGTAAATCGTTCATTTCTAAAATGGCTGAAAATCACCACCACCATCACATCAAAAGAGCTGCTACAACTCAGGCCATTATGACCACACCAGCAAAGCTGCAGAATAATCGTATTTAGGTTGAAAGGGGCACCTAGAGGTCTTCTAGTCCAATTCCCTGTATAGAGCAGGGGGACTTCAAAGTTAGATCAGGCTGCTTGGGGCTTTGTCCAGTTGCACTTTGAATAGCACCCAGGATGGAGATTCCACAGCCTCTCTGGGCACCTCTTCCACTCAACCTTCCCCGTCGTGGTTGGAAATTCCCTTGCAGCAGCCTGTGACAACTGCCTCTCGTTCTTTTGCTGTACATCTGACAAGAGCTTGGCTCCATCTTCTTCAAAACCCCCCTTTAGTCCCAAAAGGAAACAAAAGACATAAGAAAGCATTTAAACAACATCTGTAAGGGAAACAGCACGAGAAGAAAAAAATTCACAAGTGGACTATAGTTGTCTGGGGTTGAAGGGTTTCTGTCTCTCGGGGATGTAAACAACACACAATCCAGTAGCACCATATCTTGCTGATCACAGCCAGCATTTTTTAAGTAAACACTAGTTTCTTCCACTGCCTCGTACACAACAAATTGCTGTTACTCCTCCTTTTTCCCAACATGCCCATAAGTTCCCTTTTGCCATTCACCTCTATCTTTCCCTCACAGGGAAAAGGGGAGACACATAGCTATTGCAACACGTAACAGTCCCTTTGGCTGCCAGAAGAAAGACCTGGATCCATGTACTGCTGAGGGTAATCAAGAAGAGACACTAGTTCTTGGAAAAAGGCAAACAAGAAAGAAAATTCTTTTTAAAAGCAAATTTTCATGATTATATGTATCAAGTGTTGTTATTAGATTTACCACATCTGATGCAAAGAGAATATGGCACCTACACAAGCCCTAAGTTTTGTTTTATGAAGAGCTTTAGCCTGGGAAGAACTCTGAAGTCAGAAAAAAACCTGGTGAAAAATATGCGTTTTCCTCTGTATTAAACTGTCAGCTCAAAAGAATTAATTACAACCCTCCCCTCCTTTTTTTTCTATGTATATATTACAATCAGAAAGAAAATAATCAGAGAAATCTGAGTAAAAAACCACCATACTAAGAACATTTGGTCTTCCTTTTTCCTTTCAATGAACACACACACTCTCATCTAATAATAAATAATATTATAATGAAAATTAACATATTTACTGCAAATAATATTGTGCCAGCAAAGTCTAGTATTCTCTTCATTTTTTCATTTTTGATCACCCTTGGTCTTCCTCATTCAACTTTTCCTTTTACCAACAGATAAGTTGCAGCAGAAAATCAAACTCCTTTTAAAAGCAGCATTAAGTGTAGACATTAAGATTCTCAGCATAGTAAACTAAACTTTTCAAATTAGGCATTCACTGATAAAAATCATAAAACTCATTGCTATACTACAGCACTGTCAGATTTTTCAAGCAATAATACTTGTTTAAAGAAGACGACACTGCTTACACTCACTTCAACAGCTGCCCAAGGCATTCTTCTATATTGACATTCATTTAAGGTTATAACACTTATAGAGAAAGTCAGATAAGATATAGAATAATATGCAGGTACAGGGTTTATATATGAGTGCAGACCAGACTGAACAGCTACTATACCATAAATACTTCATTCTTAGTTTTTATATGCTTAGTATATCTATCACTGCTTAAATAAAAAACCATTACACAGCTAGCTCTCATCAAATTTAATATTAGGTTCCCAAAGCTAAAAAAAAAAAAAAAAAAAAAAGGTGAAAAAAATAATACACTTCTCCTCTTTCCCCAAATCTGATTTCTGGTCTTAAAATACTTTCACAGATTTACAACTGTAAGCTATCCTACATCACAAGCTGATTGTTCTCCCCCAAACCTCAATAAAACCAAATTATATCCCTTCTGAAAAATAGGCTAAGTGATACTGTTTTAGGCAGAGAAGGAAAGAAGAGATTTCAGAACTATAGCACCAATTGAGCCCTCCAAGAAAACATGATCAGAGTTTTAAAGTGGTATTTTACATCCAAATTAATGTTATTATTTTACTTTATGAAATAAATTCAGAGGAACTGTTCTTCAAATCATGCATTAAATGAAAGAAACACTTTTTTTTCTCCAGAAATGTAAAGAAAGAGCAGTCTTGTTGATGACATGCTAAATCTAAATACACATACAGATCTTGAACTATCTTCATGACAAAATGAAAAAAAAGCCCATTCAATCCCCTCCCCCAGCAAAACTATCTCTTCTGATAACAGTTTCCACAGGTTCAGAGTCATCATCCAGAAGTGTAAGACAATAAACCACAGATTTAGTGCCTCCTTTGCTCTGCTACATCTTGCATGTAGGAATCAGTCCTTCAGAGTTGACAGTGACTCAGGATAACATTTTTGAGTGTTAAGTAAGTTAAAACCAGTGTTTGTTCCCTCTAGGAAAACAAGGCACCAGCACACTACCTGTCTTACCCCTCACAAGCAGATTCTAAGCTTACCCTCAATAAAATAAAAGGAAAACTCAAATGAGTCCAACCCTACCAGCAAAAAACTATGTTTTTTTTCTTAAACAGAAGATTACACTCCAATCCTTTCTCCCTACTTACCTGCAGATTTTCCAACCTGAAAAATACACTGCTGAACCTCTCACTGACTCTCTCACAAGGATTAAATGAAAAACAATACTGTAAAAACTAAGAGGAATACAACAGAATTCTATATCAATCCATATATTTAAATAATTAGAAGGAATTACAAATTCTAACTGCACTTAGCTTTAGCATTTAACTATGTAGCTGCCCAAAAATAAAATCATAGAACAAAATACACCATCTAGGAAAACAGTATTATAAACCATTTATGATAGTAACCTGAGATCTATAAATTAAAAAAAGAGTGAGAGAAGCACATAATTACTTGTAGTTTGGTTAAGAAAAATTCACTTTTGATCCCATTCTTCACTTCTTCAGGTAATAATGCTTATTTTCCGTTTTGAGCAGAGAACAAACCACAGGCTCCTCATTGGGCATCACTTATGTTAACACAATTAATTTTCACACTCACCTGGCTATTTGTGTTCCAAGTGTGCAAGAAAAGGAGACAAACATTACCCATAAAACAGTGTTTTCCACTTGATAACAACTAAATCTACTTGACATACATATATGTTTCTACTTTGAAATAAAAGGTATTCTATTTTAGGAGTTTGCATCCCATATTGCACTTGAAAATCTATATATTGCCACATACCTTAACAAGTTGAAGCTAAGATCTAGCCTTTTTGCCATATGTCCATATTTTCGTCCTAGGAATTCTGGAATTTCTTCACAGTCTTGACTAATGTAGGACACCTGAGAATTAGAAGCAGAAAGGAAACATTTCATAAGTGGATTTAGTTTCCTGTCCAAATTCTGTCTCATTGATACAATGGCAACATGCAATACCATGAATATTCATTACAGCTTTAAGCTACCTAAGTTTTACTGCTATAAAATCTATCACAATCTCATTTTCCCATTGATACCTTCAACTTAATATTTATTACATCTATAGTCTTATGTACAATGCTTTGTCTCCTTTCAGGTAAAAATAATTTGATTATAAAAATCACCTTTCTTCAATTTCGCTGTTAATATTTTGATCTAACATTTCTTTCTATTACCATTCTGATACACTCCAGAACAAATTTGTTAGAAGGATCAGAAGCCATCCAAAGGATATTACAGTTTGGCTCTCCATATACAACACACTAAAAGACTGTTTTGTAAAGTTTGGTGCAGAAATACCTAAGTAGTCTATTGTCAATCCACTCTCATAACCATTCCCTGAGAAGATTATTATTCCCAGTAACATACCAGGGACAGAGCAAGAGGGCTGCCCACGATCTGAAAAACAAAGCATGCAGCTTTTTTTCAGACAGTCATGTAACTTTCAAAGATTTCTGGCTTCAACACCTATGTTCAGATCACATTTCTCATTACACCCAAAATACTCCTAAATGTCTTTTCTCTTTTTCATACCAGGCCATCTAACCAACCTTTAGCAAACATAGGAAGAATTACTGGTAACAAAAAAAACCAGTCTACTCAGATTTTTTTGTTTGGTTGGGGTTTATTTACTTTTTTTAGCCAGAATTGAGTGACAATATTTCCAGAAAAAACATAAACAACAAAACACCTGAATTTTTCTATTCTTTCTGCTGTACTGTTTTAGAAGTCATGGGTTTGATTTCTTCAAAGAAACCCCACAAAGCCTGTCAAACCTATTTTCAAGAACTCTATACACCTATATTGGCTCATCATCTCAGTGTTGAAAACACTGACATTTCAGATTTTGTGCTACAGAAATCTTGGTTGCCCTTACTGGTAACTTACTAGTTAAGTGAACTTCACCACTGTATTAGACCACTACCTATATGATATTGTTATTATCTCCATATTTAATACAAAGTCAATATAAATACCATATTCCACTGGTCTAAAACATGTTAGATGAAAAGTACGCAAAAAAGAGTCCATCAGATTTTGTTTTCATAGTATTTCACCTTCTGTTAAAATAGAAACTCCTCTGCAGAACAGACTGACAGTATGCACTTTGGCAAGTCATCCTGGTCTCTTACACTCTAAAAATTATTGCAATCTGATAACACTGTATGGCATCCCATTTAATTAATTTTGTTCAATAACTTCAACAGATAAAGCTGACAACAATGAAATAATTTTTACGAGCAGAAAACAGGTAGCTTGAAGCTCAGTTTAACAACTTCTTCCCCTTGTTAAATCATACCTTGTCTTGCAATATATTCTCCTAGCAGACATACACATGACTTTAGCAAATATAAGGACAAAAGGGAAAGGAACTGTTTGGGGTAATTGGCATCCTATTGGTTTGGATATAACAGAAAATGTTTTGCAGAATTTATTGAATTAAATATGTGGGGGTTTTCCTCCAGTCTACATCCAAGATAAATTTCAATGCATTTTACAGCACACACAAAGGTATGCATAAAAGAATTGCTTCATTCTTCACTGAATGGTAGATTTCTTTAAATTAATGCTTGCAAACCCTTCAAAAGTCATCATGGTAACAGCAGAATAATTCTTTGGATTAAGCATTTGGTTCAATGTAACATGTTGAAAAAGAAATAACTAAAATATGATGCCTACTAACACTAGGAGTGCAAGACCACCTTAAGCAACTACAAACACAGCAGGAGCACAGACAACTTTGCTTCTGACCCAGGGAAGAGTGGTGGAGAAGGAGCCAGGGACTCCGGACTGCATTCCCACTGCTTCAGAAACTTACCTGGCCATAAAATCTCTACCTCCACAAGGACAGAAGCTGAAGAAAAAGGTTCAAACAAATGTGTTTTGGAGCATGGAAGAGGCAAAATACATAAAATGTTGCAAAGCTTCAGCCTTGGAACTGTTATAATATACATATATACATTTACATAACTGGTAAAAACAGATTATTCACAGGCATATCTGCAGATGACATATGGTTATCATGACCTTTTAACACTCAGGCTTTTTAAAAGGGATTTTACTTCCATAGAGTTCAGTTCAGCACATTCACAGTACAAACACATTTTTCAATTTAAAACAACTATATTTATTTTTCCAGAAAATACACAAAGGGCATTTGACTTTATATTTCTATAGCCCACATACATGAATTTGCTTCAGATACCCAACAGCCCTCTTTATGGCAAGAACAGCAGCAACTGCCAGCAATTAAATACATGATAAACCTTTTTGAACAAGTTTTCCCCACTTTTTACTATTTGAACAGTGTTGATATAAAACAAGACTTCAGTAGTCTGGACAAGAAAAGAACATTTCTTCATTTTTGTTCTTTCAGTTCAAAATCATTTACTCGGGAAACAACAAAACGTACATAATTCAGTATTCTTCCTTTTGCATCCATCTCAAATACCCTCAAAATGAGGATGAGCTTTCAAGTACATATCCAGATATGTCATTACAGAGATGAGAGCAAGCAAACTTCTCCCACGACTCCAGCTCTTTGGCTGCACGGCACATCAGCAACAGCAGATTTCTTAGGTTTTTCTATACCAGTCACAGAATATCACATAGCATTAGAAACTGGATGTAGAGGTCTCCATTGCCTAATTCTCCAACTCAAATATAGTACAGGTTGGTCACAGTCAATCATTCTTATTACTGGTGCCCTGTTCAATATCCCACTGAAATGTTCAGAAAGTTTCCCACAAAGCCCAGCATCAGATAGGCTATGGACGTCTCAGATACTCTTGCAGACTCTTCAACACACTGTATGCAATTCAGGAAAAAAATAAGTTTTTACAAAATATTTAGAACATAAGTTAACCAGTCAACAGCAGTTGCACCTCTCTTCTGCTCTACTTTCAGAGGATATTACCCTTTAATCTCTGAAATCATTTTACAATGACACTCACTGAGTAACCTCTTCAAGGAATGTCAGCAAAAAGTCATGTATGAACTCTCAATACTGCATATTCTCTTCTACTGAGGGGAATTACATGTGGAGAATATTTCCAGTCAGCTGAGCATTATATCTTACTCTATGCTGCTAGAAGATTGTATGGTAGGGACATAGCCAAATTAAGGGGCTAAAGGCATGCCCAAGGGAAGAAGGTAGAGTGTTTCTCAGTGCCACAGTGCACCACAGAGACCACAGGAACCGCTTCCTGCAGCATCTGCAAAATTAGCCAACTGCCTTCATAGCACACACATATTTACATGAATTCCATACAGAATAGTGACCAGATTAAAGAAGCAACTAGATGGGCTGCACCTTGGCTTAATGGCAAGCCATTTTCAAA